TCAAAACTCTTCCTTCCATTTCTATCCTTTATCTTCCCTCTAAGTATCACTTTTTTTTTATTTCTTCTTTTCCTCATGCTGGTTATTTTGGTGTCTTCTTTTCCTTCAAAATTCTCCTTCGAAAATTGTAATTTTTCCTATGCCCATCCTAACAGGTCTCACTCCCCACTACTTTCCATGGCAACCCATATTCTTTTGCTAACCTTCACATTCCCATGTCAATCTCACCAACCCTTTCCTACCCTACCCTACCCTTCCTTACTCATTTGCTTCTACTTTTCACTCCTCCAGTGACAGCTGACATCCCTTTAGTGAGCCAACCTCACAGGACAGCAAACCTTGAGTAGCAATATTCAGAAGAAGAATGTGAAGGAGGATAAGCTGCTGCACTGGGGGAGAGAGAAGAGCTTGTAGCAAACAGAACATGAAATTCAGCCTCCTGAGCATCCTGTTTGGCTGGCCCTCCAGACAACATAAGTTCCCTGAAGATTATAAAAAGGAGCTAAGCTTACAGCAGTCAGGGTAGAGCAACTGGCAACCACACAAGATCTGGTTTTAAAATACTAAAATATAATTAAAACCTGACTTTACTAATAAGTATACTTGATTTTCATCAGAACACAATTCTTGCAAGTATCCCACCAGCTATGAAATGTCAAGCAGGAAATGAAAGTCATAGAATGCTAAAGTTTTATTATAGATATGTTGTTTCCCACCTAGGAACTTTCATCTGTAATTGGGACACAATAATAGCAGCTACTTGTTTTGGAGAGAAAAAAAAGTAAATTAAAGATTAAAATCTTGATGCTGACCACTGGTCACCATATGGAATGCAGTGGATGCACTTTAATTTATAGTTTACTGTAGCATTTACTGGAGAAGATGGTGTTACTTATGTGACACYGGATACTTAAATGGTTTGAGGGTACTTAGCCTTATACAGCTTATCTGTATTTTCTGCTTAATGAGATTTCCCATCTCCCTCTAGAAGTCCATGCTGAGATTAAAAAACTCATGTGAATTAAAAAAACCTTCTTTCATTAGCTTTAATGGAGGCTGTGTKTTTAAATTCCTTTATGATGTTCTCTCAAGGACTGTTTTTGCCTCAGAAAATTTTCTTGTCTTTGGTAAGATGCCAGAAAAAATTGTGAAATGAAGCCTCAATTAGTTAAGTCGTGATATGTCAACACTTGTATAAACTCCTTTAGGCAGGGGCTGCTAGCAACGACTTTTTATTCTTTTTACAGCATCTGCCACAGTGAGGACTCAGACTGAAGTGCTTTGGAAAAAAAAAAAGTCAGGATGCTTGCTACAGGTTCTGCATGGATCTTCTACCACATCCATAGATTAAAATTATATACATTACTAGTGCTGTCTAAGACCTCATCCTTGGATTGGGTTTTCACTTAGTGACACTCTATTTGGATTGTCCTGTTCCTTTGTAAGAAAAAAAAAGACCCTTTTGGGAACAGTCCATTTAACATAATTTTCTCTGTCACTCACCCACCCCTGCTAAAATGCCTTCATGAGAAAAGGAAATTGAACTTGAGAGACTAGACCCTGAGCCACACACAATCACCAAAATGGACCACAGAGTAACAGCTCTTTGACCAGCACTGAGTATCCTCCTCTCATTGTTTGTTGTTTTTTTTCCAGCTACTGTCAATTGCATTACATAAATCTGAATACATTTCCAGTCAAACTAATGCCATTAATGAGTGTCCTAAATCAATGCGACCATAATCAGGTGAAATACTCATCTGCAATATTGCATTTTATTTCAAGTGACCATAACCACAGGCCACTGCTTCTCATGATAACAATTACTCACAATTRCTTGCAATTAATGCACTCCTAATCACACGGGGAGTATAGACTAAATGAAAAAAAWTAATGCAAGTTTTATTATTCCCATTTTAATATTCCCATTAAATAAACTTTCTCCTCTTTCCTTGTTGAACCCACTGCAATATGCACATATTGTCTCCAGAAATATAACTGTGTTTTGACAGGAGGTCAAAGGAGTTTAAACATTTTCTGTAATCAACAGTTTACATATCCTGAAAGAAAATCTTCCAAGAACTTCAAAGCTGGTTGAATTTCTGTATCGCTTTTGATCCTCCTCCACCAGTCAAAGAATAGTAGCCTAAAAGGATAGATTATGCAACAGCTCACAAAGAAGCAGTCCCAAAATGCTTACCTGCACAGTTCTGCTCTGGCACCCAGTGGACTTTCAGCCCTTCCCTCTGACAGGCTCGGGTGTATGCCAGGAATGATTCACAGTAGCAGTTTTTATGGACTGGACACTCACACATGTCTGTCACACAGGACCTGCAGAACAAAACCCCAAAACAAATAAGAAAGGAATGCTTTGTTAGGTATCAGTCTGAGGTTTAGAGCTGTTTATTTTTTCCAGCTGCATGGCAATCAATGCCACAGCAACTTGTGCTAAATGGTAAGAAAGTTAAAGGCATCCCTGCAGTGGCATCCCAAGGGCTTATCCCTTTTTTTCAGTGTGCTGCTCTGGTGAAGAGAAGTCTCCAGAGCACCATGGAACCACATAGAAACAGGCAGCTGAGAAGACCAAAAAAATTTCAGGCGGAGAGGACCACAATGGGAGAAGGCAAAATTTATTTCTGCAATGATATTTTTGTCAACGTAAGATAAAAAAAATTTTATTCTCTATGAAGTAATAACTTAGTAATTTTACCAACAATAATAGCAGTAGTGTTAAGTGTTCGACTTTCGTAGATAATGAGAATGTCCCTCTCTCCAGGTTCCCTGCAGACTCTTCCTGCTTTCAATGCCTCAAATAAGCTTTATGCCTGTTTTCTCAGCATTATCACTACTGAGTGCCAGACTTGAAGATACTCCAAAGGAACAGAGGTGATGCAGTGTAACTGAACAGTTTCCTGCTAACAATTCCCCCAARCACTTGTTCATAGCACCCAGTCTCTTCTTCCATTGCATTCTTATGTGGAATCACTACAATGACAGGGAGCAAAGCTGCTAACATGGCCCTACGTGAAATAGCTACTGTGGATGTCACCACTATATTTCAAGTTAGCTCATTSAGAACATGTGCCCATTTGGCACAGACCTAAATGATCACTGGCAAGAGCTAGCAGATTTGCAGTTGGTGGTTTCTGCATATGMAAAATGCTTAGATGTTTTCTGCATGTGTAGCAATGTGAACTCAGAAAAACTGAGTATCTACTGCTCTGAGTAGATAAAGGCAGGGACAAGGTACAGGGAAGGCATAGTCTAAAAATCATGCCCTCAATTCCTCTGCTTTCCACAGAAGGTGCTCTGTGCATGAACCTTGGGTGTCAATGGTCGAGGCCTCCATGCACTGTACATGTTCTGGGGCTCTCCCATTCCTGAGAGAACAAGGCAATATTTGTAAGAAAAACAAATCCTCCAGAAAGATGAAGGGCTGAAATGAAAAAATAGCTTTTCACGTTAATTGCTCTCCCTGTGGACCATAATTTGAATTGTCTCTAGGAAAAGGATGGATATAGRCTTAATTCCCCAGAAACCTTCTCCACAGCAGGAGAATAGCTTGGAAAAGGTGCAAGCACCTCAGTCAAAGAAATCTGGTGCCCTAATGCCCATACAATGCTCTAGAGTAATAGAGAACCCGTTACTCAAAACTAGGAGAAAGGATTAGTGATCCCTTGAACAGACAAGCTTGCTTCTGTTTGTCCAACAGTGCTCCTTAAAGAGGAGTGTTTCCCTTTGCTAAAGTCACCAGCCACTTCAGTGACCATTCATACGGTTAAACCTGACAGCTCTGCTTGATATTTTCATGAGTTTTTAATAGTTTTACTCTCAGTGGAYCCTCAATATGAAATTACCTAAAAAATCACCATGACAAATAAGTAACAGCAGTGCCAATGCAAAGAGGTTACCATCGTTGATTCACTGATATGTATGTGTTATGAATAAACAGAATTGCTTTGGATCAAATATATAATATGCATGTATTTACAGACCAGTTGTTTTCACTCGAAATAGCTTTACTTTYTAGGGACAATGTAATTTTATTTCACTTTAGTTCTGTGGTAGGTCCCTTTACATCTTTTCCAGTAACAGATGTTGCTGTATGCATATCACAGCTGATAGGCAAGGAATAGATTAGCACAACATCCTTGGCATGGTTTGAGGTTGTCAGCTGATAAAAGACCTTGTATAAGCACAAAGGGTCACCTTTTTAYGTGACACACTAAATAACTTCACACWGTTTCCTTTGGCTACAACATCTCTTTGTGATCTCTTTCTAGTGCAGCAGGCACTGCTCCATATACCCCATGCAATTTAAGAGGTGCATGTCTCATTTTACAGTAAAGTAGATGCTTGCTCTCTACTGAAACAAATCATTATCACAGAGAAAGTCTGTATATAATCTCCATAAACAGTTGATTGTCAAGGAACAACCATTTATGTTTCTGTGTTAGCCCCCTTTATGAAACACATTTCAYTGCTCTACCCTCAGATTTAGTTATGATTGATGTCCATGGTGTTTAGGGATGCTTGCCACTATCAGCTTGGCTTTAYGTTCACCAGCTTCCTTGAGTTGGAAATCATAAGACCCTAAATCTGAGGTACTTCCTCTGCTTTTTAGAGCATAAATACTTTTTTTTGCCATTTTATCATATTTAGGCATACCACCTCTTGCACTGAGTCAATGAACCTACAGGTACCTAAGGTGCACTGGGAAAAGATGCAAGATCAGGGAAACTCCAGGCTCACCATCCATCACCCAAACTTTTTAATAGTTAACATGTTCATGGCAAGGCTGGCACAGACCCTTGCAAAGCCTAGGCATAGTCTGAGGGATTAGGGAAGGGAGGGCACTGTTCCCAGTCTGCAGGAGGGCAGCCATGCTCTTTGAGAGTGCAGAGCTTAGCTCCTATATACATGTGAACAATACTAACCATTAACCCTGGGCACTGAAATGGCCAAGGAAACCAGACAGGCTCCAGAGTGAAACATTTGACCTTTGGCTGGGCTCAGCATTATTTGCTACAGTGTTCAGCATGGGTGTCCACTGAGGAAGGGGCACGCCATGTGCAGCACAAACAATCTGTTGATTCATTACATGCCCAATTGTTTGTGTAATTTTTATTTTCATTAAGTGTTTAATCCTTTTGACAGATGCTGGGCTCAAGYCTGAGGCTTAGTTGAGGAACAATCTTCAGATTGCGGCAGTTTTATTAATGAATTACGATTTCTAATTATTTGTACAGTTAATTTAATTAATTAATGTTAAATCAAAAATGAGAGTAAAGAAACCAATATCCTCAGCTGCCAAGCCTAGTGAATAAAAATAAAACCTTCTTTTATTTCCTAATGAATGGGCAGTTCCGGGCAAGGACATGAAACAAAAGATGTCCCTTCTCTGGGGGCTGGCTCCAAGGGCAACTTGCTGATGGCCCATGGCCAAACTTTGCCTTGAGTCTGTATTTTATTTAAAGGTGTTTACATCTTGCATTTAATTACATTTCTCACATTTACTATTGCTACAGTTGTGTTAAATGGCTATTATGGGACGATTTACTAGGTAACTTGAAAATCTGATTCTTGTGTGATATCCTAATCCTTTACCCTTGCAAAAAACTTAGGTACGCCCACAGCTTTTTTCTTTTTTAATCCTCTCCAGTGATACATTTCAAAAAATGTTTTCTGCTTCCCCAGATTATACCTTCTCATCATTCTTCTTTTGAATCTGATAARAAGATTTGGTGACATTAACTGCATGTATGCACAAGCTTATCTRTACTCTAATCTGACAGGACAGTTCAAACAATAGAAAAATATATTTTAGTAAAACTTTGGAATTATGCCAATGGATAACTCTGGGTCTTCCAAGGTATTGTGACTTTACAAGAACAAAACATTTGCATAAATGAAGTAAAAACATATTAGAAATTTAAACATCAAAACACTACAGTCAGACAGAAATAATCCCACAAGATGACTGCAGCACAAGTTACTTATAAAACGAAGCCATTTCACAAGTTATGGAAATACAAACAAGATACTCCAGGCAGTCTTAGTTCTGCCCTCAGTGAAATCATACCGAGTTGCAATGATGTTGTGGTCCAAAAGAAAATTACRTTTATTTTAAAGACATAAATTTAGAAAAACACTTGGATGCGACMATGCAGTTTATCTGGCATCCTGGCTCCAAATAAGCACCGGAGCACCGCCAACCTCTGAGTCCTCGGCTGGTACCAAGTGCCTCTCTGTGATCCCTTTTGATGGCGTCTGTGCTGCCTGCAGGGTRTGTGTCAGAGATGGCGTTAATTGGGTGTGCATAATCACAAACTGTTGCAAGGGGAAATCCATGAAAGTGAAGGCATCCGGCAGCTGTGGGACACACCCTTGAAGGAGACAAACACACACTCTGCTGCCACATCTTCAAAGCAAACTGGATGAGCACACTCCTTCAGCAACAGCCCTTTTTCATATTAAACCATGGAAAGTCTCCAAGTCCCGCAAAGGGCAAAGAACAGTCCTGTGCTACATGCAGTATTTGAAAAAAAGAAGAAGAAAAGATCACAGCAATGAAACCTACCGACTTAGTCTGTGCCACACGGGATTGAAATTGCAGATGTTCACTTGTTGAACATCAGCAATTCATTTTCCTCTGCAATACACATGAATCCAAACCCAGAATCGACCATTTTAGGAAGGGCTATTTACTTTTACTTTTTCCCCCACATTTCACAACAGCAGTATGATGCAGTTTATTTTTTAAACCATTTAGTAGCTTCAAGTTGCTCCACATACATGGAAAACAATAACATCTTCCTCTTTCCATCAACAGATCTCAASAGATTTTACGAAAGCAATTAGAAACAGTGCATCACTGCATACATTTCATGCATATGAAGATGCATCAGGTGGCGATGGGATTTGTCCTCTACACTGGAGATAAGCTGTACATGTGCAAACTTCAAAATCTGAAGGGTCATCTGCCTAGAGAGGAAGATTAATTTCCAGCCCTACCATCCTGTGAGACATGACTTCTTGGGATATGTTTTCATCGGGTATGCCACATCAGAGTTTTACTATAAGCTTGACCTAATTTTTGACAGAAAAAATTAAAGCTTCTGTTAATGTTAAGTTTTTATGAGAAAGTTTGTTTGGGCTGTTTTTTTGACAAAGTKCAATGAATTGCCATTATTTATGGACACAGATAGAAATGACATTTCACAATGTAAGAAGATGAGCCATTTTCCAATAAAGAATAGAAAGTCTCATGCTGTTGCTATCACAAACTCTCTTGTCTGCATGTGCATGCTCAACCTTACTGAAGGATTGAA